ATTTATTCTTTTTCTCTTTTTTTAAAATGTTAACTATTGAATCATATTTTTATTTATTTACTTTTTTTTACATGTGTGTTAAGAACGATTAATTTAACATGTGTAACAAACAGACGAGTTAGTAATTTTGAAACATTGTCCTTAATATAATAAGATAAAATAAGGAATTGCGTTAGTTTTTATTTTTGAATTTACATCGTATGTGAACTATATGTTATCTCATTTATTTAGAACTTTTATTTAAATTTAACATTACGACTATTTTTCTTTGACTTCTAACAAAACAATTTTTTCCAATTACATTACATGAAGTCAATTGTATATGTGCCTTTGTTTAAGATAGAAAAGCCATTAATGTTATACATTACATGAATTGGAAGGTCATCATCCTATGTTTCTTATTTTATAGATATAATATATGAACTCCGACTTTCTAGTATATGTTGAAAATCATTGCGTTGTAAGTCTTTTTCTTTAATATTTTCAAAAGAACGAATATTATATTGAGTTGTATAGCATTTTTTATATAAAATATGTGGATTTAATTATATCACTTATTAAAAAGTCTTGGCTTAATCCATAATGATTAATCCTCCTCATATGCCACCTCACATATGACATAGCATAACTAGATTTCAAGGTACATATGACCACAAATTGTTTTATCTTTTAAAAAATAATACATGTCAAGTTTCAATCAAAAATTATAAAAACTGTTACATCGATAATGCTGACACTTAATCAACTTTTAGACCAAGGGTACTTTCATATACGTGTTAAGTTAATTGTAACATTTTTACATTCGCGTGAGCAATGTTTCTGTAACACCCGTCCCTAGGTTCCGAAGGAAACCAGGCTAAATCGGTGGTATTAGCTATCCTAAACCAATAAATTCTGAATAACATTTTATTTTTATTTCAAAACCCAAACTCAAATCCAAGTCTTACAATTAAAAATGAAATATTGAAAATGAATCCGAATAAAATAGAAAACATTGTCTTAAAAGAAAATATGAAATAGTTCTTAAAACAAATAAAACTTCCTCCATCTCTGAAGGCACACCACACTAGAGCTACTCGTCTAGTTCTTCCCAAACATCATCACAATCACATTCATTAGACTCACCTGTAATATGGATTTAGAAGAGAGGGGTGAGTAATTTGGGAGAATTACTCAGTGAGAACCAAACCAGGCACTCTTCCCATTCGATCATTTCCAACCAATATGACAAGTATAAACCCAACAAGCAACAAACAAGCACTCTAGAAGTGCACAAACAACTATCAAAGAGGCGTCTCCAATCTTGCCAGGTCACACAGACAGGCTCTACATCGCCAGGTCACAAAGACAGGCACCAGGTCACACAGACAGGCTCAATATTGCCAGGTCACACAGACAGGCTATGCCAGGTCACAAAGACAGGCATGGTGGTTCGTCTAACCACCTGACGATGAATTAATGCCACGGTCACACAGACGGCACTAATCCAGCAATCAATCCGTACCTCGGCACACCTCCACCGAGACGGACACCTGTCGAATACCTCCTGACAGAACATCTGCTCTTCAGCTCCAACCTCAAACCCTCATGAATTGATGGACTAAGTCAGCCTGTGTGAAGTGCTTCCTGGAGAATATCCTCAACCTATTGAACTCCTCCTTGTACTCTCTCACAGAGAGGTTCTCCTGACGCAGATCTTCAAAGGCACTCTCCATCTGATCCAAGGATTCGGGCGGAAAGTACTCTCCAGCAAATGCTTCCTTGAAATCATTGTAGGTTAACTCATAGCGACCCTGAGTTGCTTCTACTACACCTTCCCACCATAACAGCGCCTCTTCTTTCAGGTATTGCACGGCTAAGTCTTTCCGGTAACCCTCCGGACATCTCATGGCTTCAAAGTTCCTCTCCAGCCTCTTTCTCCAGTTATCAGCAAACATTGGATCAGATCTTCCACCAAAGGCTTCCATCCCCATATCCCTCATATGTTTCATGGCCTGATAATACGTCAGACAAGACTCATTAGCAGGCATTGGGGGAGGCGGAGGTACATGCTGCTGCTGAGCAAACACTGGCGGCACAATCACAGGTGGCGGCACATGCATGGGCGGCAGAGGCACATTCTGAGGCTGAACAAACACTTGTGGCAGCACATTCTCTTGCTGATGCTGCTGCTGCTGGGCATTCACACCCACCTCAGGGTTCAAGTGGCCATACATCTCTTGATAGCGGCGCAATTCCTCCAAGACTGCAGCATGGGTTGCGGCTAGCACTTGAACAGGCACATTTCCAGCAAAATTTCCACCATGCTGGTCCACTGGGGCTGGCGGTGGGTTACGCTGTTGGTGCACTGCAACTCGGTTCACACTTCCTCTCATGTCAGTGGTATCCTCCTCCTCATTGGAGCGACGAGCTTGGGATCTAGTGCGCACATTCTTTGCTTTCGGAGGCATCTTCATTACAAAACATAAAGGCAGATAAGTCAGTCTGGTCCCGTAAAGACTAACTTCCTGCAAATAAAATAACAAACAAAAACTAGAGAGGCTAATCTCGGTGGTGTGTGTGTGTGTTTTTTTTTTTTTAAAATCCGAAATTAACTTTTTAAAAAAATTTAAATTATAATTATTTTATTTTAAATCCGAAAATATTAGAAAAATATTTGAAAACATTTTTTTTTTTTTTTTTGGAAATCCGGTTCTCAACCCCACTACTCTAGACTTAACACTTTCTCTTTTTCTAACTCGAACCTAAGCTCTGATACCAATTGTAACACCCCGTCCCTGGGTTCCGAAGGAAACCAGGCTAAACCGGTGGTATTAGCTATCCTAAACCAATAAATTCTGAATAACATCTTATTCTTATTCCAAAACCCAAACTCAAATCCAAGTCTTACAATTAAAAATAAAATACTGAAAATGAATCCGAATAAAATAGAAAAGATTGTCTTAAAAGAAAATATGAAATAGTTTTTAAAACAAATAAAACTTCTTCCATCTCTGAAGGCACACCACACTAAAGCTACTCGTCTAGTTCTTCCCAAACATCATCACAATCACATTCATTAGACTCACCTGCAATATAGATTTAGAAGAGAGGGGTGAGTAATTTGGGAGAATTACTCAGTGAGAACCAAACCAGGCACTCTTCCCACTCGATCATTTCCAACCAATATGACAAGTATAAACCCAACAAGCAACAAACAAGCACTCTAGAAGTGCACAAACAACTATCAAAGAGGCGTCTCCAATCTTGCCAGGTCACACAGACAGGCTCCGCCAGGTCACACAGACAGGCTCTACATCGCCAGGTCACAAAGACAGGCACCAGGTCACACAGACAGGCTCAATATTGCCAGGTCACACAGACAGGCTATGCCAGGTCACAAGGCATGGTGGTTCGTCTAACCACCTGACGATGAATTAATGCCATGGTCACACAGACGGTACTAATCCAGCAATCAATCCGTACCTCGGCACACCTCCACCGAGACGGAAACCTGATCTAGCTATTTTTACCAAACACTATCCACAAAGCAGGGTGAACAATCAGGTATGCTAGTGCTTCCTCTAATGAGAGTCCTAATTCATATTAATTATATATATATACATCGATCTATCTAGATGCACATGAAAACAACCTAGACTTATCAGATCTAGACTTTCCACACCAGAAGAAGATAAAAGAAGAAGAAGAAGAACCTAAATCTAATCCTCACCTTAGCAACAAAGCAGATCTGGACACCCGACACGGAAACAGCGATATCTCCCGGCACAGATCTCCGATCGGGATGAACTTAGTCTCTATAGATAGAAGACACTCGGGGCTTCACTTTGATAGGTTTTACGTCGTGTGGTTCCTTACGGATCGCCGGGAAATTGTCACACAAGGCAGTGGCGGTTTCCCCTTCTTCTCTCTTTCTCTCTTTTCTTTGGGTGGCTAGGGTTTTAGAAGACAAATGAGGCTCCTTCTCATTTAATTCCCTATTTATACTAGGGTTGCTGGAGTGGACTTGGTATTGATGAGCTTTTCCCAATTAGGCCGAAATTGGGATGTTATAGTTTCCTTGATTCTTACTTCGATATTCTCTTTCAAAAGATTTTGTTAACTTTATCGATCCTACTGATTTTTCTTTTGTAAAACAACTAAATCATCTATCTGATTGGTTAACATTTGTGATTTGTATAAAGAAACAGAAGATAGCATTTTGTTTTCAGAAAATAACCAGGAAAAAACTGGAAATAAAGAACATATTGACTATGTTTATGATATATCAGTTCAATAAAAGGATTAGTATATTTCTTACATAATAATGTTATTATAACGATAATAATAACAGGTTATATAAAATGTTAACCTGCTTACAATAATATTTGATACTTGTGATATGCTAATATTAATTTATGATACTTGTAACATGCTGATATTAATTTATGATACTTGTAACATGTTAGTGTACAGCAAAAACAATAAACATAAAATATTTATATTAACGTGTAATTTATACAGAAAATTCATTAATAACAATAGTGAGGTTAACATGATAACAACGATGATAACAAGCTCTACATAACTATACTAATAACAATGACACTAACGGGTTAATAATTCATTTAACCTATTAAGTAATTTTGTTATTGATTGATTTTCATATTAATAATCTAAGCTCTTGGTTTGTTACGTGGAAGCGCCTATCTAATGTTAATACTATTATGGCCAGCAATGTATTCTCAGGAATATGTAGATTCCCACGTTTTCGAACCTCGTTTTGTATTCTTAATTAATTTTGTTGCTCGAGAAAAAAAAAATCTATGTTTGAAGGAGTTGATATAATCAATAATTACCAGTTTTGATCACGGTATATAATATACTATTCTAGTATTTTTACTTGCATAAAAACTGCAAACAATATCCTTTATTAACAAGTGTATGTGATCACACACTCACGCAAACATGCAAACATGGAAACAAACATATATAACATATAGGGAAATCAACAGGCAAAAGAAACCACACATGTCTTTTGACAGAGCATGTAAGCTGAGGTACAAAATGGGAAAAACAGAGTTAAAACAGAAAGCAGAATTTAAAGAAAGAAAAACAATGGAATAAACAATCCAAAATCACTTTGATAGTGATCTTATTCGGCACCAACTTAAGTTAAATAGAAGACATTATATTTTTTCATAGGATACTGCATCGACCCCCGTGTAATGGCTTCATGGGCACCGAAAATGATATCGTTGGCATACCATCAGGTAGGAGGCCCACTGTAGCACTTATCGCACTTGAGTTCTGGTTCCCCTGCTCTAAAGCGGCTTTCAGCTTCGTGTTCATCTTATTAATAGATCAAGAGGTTATTAAGTTAAGTATACTACAAATATCAGTTAACAACTAGTCATCTAGATTATTAATTTTTCTTTTACCGCGTTTGACATTCTGTCAAGATTCTCTTGATACAATGCTTGTAACTGATCTTTCATCAGCGATTCAACATCTTTTGAATGGTTCTTTGATTCCAGCTCCTCATGCTTCTTACGTAGTTTTTCAGTCTCTGCCTGAGATAGACCATAGACATGAACATATATACAAATAACCTCTGAGGCAATAATTTTAGCACAAGAGATGCAGATGCCTATAATAAATTTTACCATTATCTCATGGTACGCGTCATCCGTATATGCCTGCCCATGGTTGGTTCTTCTGATTTTATCTACTAGGGAGAGAAGTTTATGGACTTGTTCTGCCTTCTTGTCATCATCATGACTCTTGTTATCGAACAGAACCATTCGGTTACCAGACCTTTTCATAACTTCCTGCAATCCACAAGAGTTCGCATACATGAGAATCTTAACCCTTTCATTTCAAGAATCATTACATGTTAAATATTCAAAGCACCGACCCTTATGAAGGGAGGGCAATCTCTACGCAAAAACTCTTCCAGTGTCTCATTGTTCTCTTCTAGCACATCACCCCCGGTAAAAACTACAATAACATAAGGAAGGATTTCACTCCCAAAAAGAGCCTGCAAGGTGCTAAGGGTATTCTCTTCCTCTTGAGTAATTTGATTCCTCGCAGATAGAACTAAAACTGCAGCATGTATCCCTCCTTCCGCTAGAGTGAGGCATCTAACGATTTCTTTACTTATAAACTCAGAAGACACCGACAAATCAAACAGACCTGCCACACACCACCCTACATTAAGCAAGCAATACACAAAATCAGTCTGCTAAATCAGTGTAAGTAACAGAATGTACCTGGAGTGTCAATCACATTGATTGTGTGACCATCTTTTGTCACAGCTCCATGTGCCTGACATTTCATGGTAACACCAGACGCATGTGCTTTGGACACGAACACCCTTTTGCCAATGAGGCTGTTCCCTGTCGCGCTTTTTCCATTCCCTGTACGGCCTACTAGGACTATGTTTTCGACTTGCTTAGAAGAATGACCCTTGTTCATCTTCAAAAAATTCCTGCACCCTTTGTTTGATGCATAACTATTAAATCTTAGCTTATCGATGTAAAAACTTTCTAAGAAAATGTAAAACCTTTCTAAAAAAAAATATTTACAGAACTTTTCTCATAACCGCGAACAAAACAATTAGCAAAGTATATATAGATATTTATTTATTTTTTGGTTTTAATTGTTAGGATACCTATCTAAAGATAAAAAAAATTTAGTGATTTTTCCATAAATTTAAAAAATGAGGATGTTGCCCGAAAAGGTAATGCATGAAAATCTGCGTGAAAACTAACCAATTTTATTCGAAGAAAAAACATAAAATCTGAGACCTAAATTGAAAACACAATTTGACATAAGGATAAAGATATTAAGATCAGGATTGAGGACGAACTTACTTTGAATGGGGAAAGTCTCTAGGTAAAGATAGAGCACAAGATATGAATATTTGATAAGTATAATCATCATAGGGAGTCTAGTTTATATAGAACTCTTCTTCTTTTTCTATGTTTTTTTTTTAGCGACGACTTTATGGAACGACTCTAGATCAAGTCTTAGTTTTCTATTTTCTTAAAAATTAATAATAAAAATGCTTGATGGAGTAATATGGACCGTAAACGTCAGAAAGAAAAACATTTCGATGTTGTGAATAAACGGGAGAAACCTGGACCTCTGATCTTCTTCATCTATACTAACCTTTATTATTGTATTAGGTCTGGGATAACAAATCCGCCGGGGGTACGTTTCCTATAGATATATCCCGAATTCGTTTCGTAAAAAACTGGGATATAGTAGTTATTCCGAGTCTAGATGTTTGCACGACTCTAGACTTCGTAATCCCCATATGGGATTTGTTCTACTCCTCTCGTGAGTATTTACTTTACCTAGAAACTCTATATATTATTATTTGATAAAGTAATAAATAATATAAATTAATCATAATATTTGGGTTATGAATTAGATTGATTCAAAATGTGATACAATTCGATAAAATAATAAAATAATAATTTAATTAAAATTTTTATATAAATATATGATCCACTAATATTTTTGAAATTAATTATTATTATAAAAAATTGTTCAAAGAAAATATACGTATTAAAATATGAATATAGTGTTGTTTATTTTCTCCCAGCGAAAATTTTTGGAGTTCAACTTTAATTTTTCTTATTGCATGGATAACTGTAACTCTTAATAATGTCTTCTTCATCATCATTAATCAAGGTTAGTGGCTACAATTTGTTTTAATCTAGAGGAAGTTGGTGATAGTTTTGTTGAATAAAAACTAACTTTAGATGAATATGAACTTTAAAAAAATGTATATTTCATTTTTATATAAATTCAATCAATTCAATAAATTAATAGCTATGTTAATATAATATTAAAGTTTATTAATTTATAGACCTAGTTTCTACTGTATTTAGAGGTTAGTTACCTTTTATGGGTTTGTTTGTTCCCTTCATGGGATTTGTCGGGTTACTTTCTCTGTTCTAATGTAATGAGTTGACTACAAAAAGAAAAACAAATGAACGGGAGAAAAATATGCCAACAAAAGAGGGGAGAAAAATGAAAAGAATTGTTGTGTCTCTTATTTCATATATTCGATATACAGATAGCGTTTTCAGGAGAAGTGATGCGACTTTGGGAGGTCCGAGGAGAAGTGATGCGACATTCAAGCATTTCTCTAATATGTGAAATGATTGTGGAATGTCAGAACTTCCTAGTTCTGGAAATGGCTTCATTTGGGGAGGTATGAGAGGTGAGATGTGGATTTAATGCATGTTGGATTATGTGTTGTGGAATAAAGAGTGGTATAATCTATTTCCAGCAGCAAACCTAGCCTTAGTAGGAGAAAAGAAGATCAGATCAGATCAGAGGCCCGTGTTGATTAAACTTGTATCTTCTCGAGGCTTCTTTAGATTCAATAAAAGAATGCTCCACAAACCTATGGTTAAGGAGGCTGTAACCCAGGCATGGAAATTCCCGAAAGGATGGTTTTTAAGTTTTAGACAGTATCAGAAGCTGCAGAATATCATTGAGTAAAAGGAAAACAATTCTATCTAACTCTTGGGATAGAATCATTTATCTGCAGAAGAAGCTTGAAGTGGAGAAATCGACTGTTTATCCTTGCTTCAGAAAAAGGTTGCCATCAGAGAATATTTGGTCGAAGCAAAAAAATTAAGATGAAGAGAGATTTTGGAAGCAAAAGAATAAAGATAAAGGTGATAAGAATGTGAAGTTCTTTCATGCTTCTTGTCAAAGCAACTCGATCAAGAAATGGAATTGGAAAAGTTATTGGAGATGATGAAATAATGAATGTAGAACTGAGGCGCCAAAGTGTGATGTGGTGGTCAAGTTTCTCTGGAAGAGACTTTCAGGATTTATTTAGAGATTTTGAACTGAGAGTCTCTTCAAGAGTCAATGATTTGTTAGTACGAGAAGTTTCAAAAGAACAAGTTAAATAGGCTGCCTTCTCGATTCAACCTGCTAGTGCTCCTGGTGCAGATGGAACGACATGATTATTTTTTCAACCCTACTAGGATATCATTGGCGATCAAGTCACTTCGAAGGTTTTGGGCTTTTTCAAAGATGAGTCTTCCCTTTGGAGTGAAATTTCACGCAGTTACGCTTAATCTTGAAAAAGGTTGGTTCACCTTTGATGTTAGACCTGCACCCCATCAGTTTATGCTTGGTCCTAAACAAAATTATTTCAAAGATTCTGGTCAACCTCTTCTTCCCAAGATAGTTTCTCCCAACCAGTCAGCCTTTTTGTTGGAGAGGTTAATTTGTGACAACGTTTTAACTGCTCATGAATCTTCCCATGCTTTAAGAACTCATCCTCGCATCTCCAAAGAATTAAAGGCAATCAACACTGACATGTCTAAGGCATAAGACAGGGTGGAATGGGGCATTCTAAATGCTATATTGGTGGTCTTAGGATTTCATCATAAATGGATAGCCTGGATCATGTTTTGTGTGAGAAGTATCTCCTACACGGTTCTCATGAATGGTCAACTGTATGGTCTGGTAATTCCAGAGAGAAGTCTAAGGCAGAGAGATCCTTCATCTCCTTTCCTCTTTCTTCTATAATCGCATAAACATTTATAAAAATTTGTTTAAGAGAACTTCTTTTATTGATGCTTAAAAAATCATCTCAAAAACTAAATACAATAACTCTGATCTCTGATGTCTCTTATGCGACTTCATAAAAGACATATATATATATATATATATATAGTGGTAGCACAAATTGCTAAACACTTTTCCTTTTTCTAGTAGACTTAGATAACTCCTAAACTAATAAGGAAATATTCCCTTCTTATCTCTAACCGACTTGTTAAAAACTTCTTGAGCCTTAAGAAACCAAAGCTTATCCAACATTCTCCCTCTTAAGCTTTGACTCTGTCTTGGACATCTCTTCAACACTGATTAAGCTCCTCACCTCAGCAAAATTTAATCCTTGCCAAAGCCTTAGTGAGAATATGGCCTTCTGCTCCACTCCTGGTACATGCTCCACATCAACTAGTCCATTCTCAATGCACTCTCTTATGAAATGGAAGCGTTTGTGTATGTGAAACACCGGATTTCTTGTGCGCGGTTATCAATCTGGATGACAACTTGTTCAGTCTTCCATCCTGTAATCTCGCTAGAGTTCTTGGAGCCAGATTGCTTGACGAGCTGCTTCTGTTGCTGCCATGAACTCTGCCTCACAGGTTGAAAGTGCAACTGTTTCCTGCTTTTGCGAACACCATGTGATTGGTGCAGAACCGAAATAGAACATATGGCCTGTGGTGCTTCTTCCATCGTCTTGATCAATGTTGTGGCTGCTGTCACTAAAGCTAACAATCTTCTTTGATCCTTCTCGCTTGAACCTTAGGCCGTATGAACTAGTTCCCTTGAGGTAACGAAGTATGTGCTTCATTACTTCACCATGTGACTTTCGAGGACTCGGCATATACCTACTAGCCACACCCACCGAAAATGCTAAATCAGGTCGTATGTGTAGTAGGTACCTTAGACATCCAACATTCCTCCTATAAGTCATAGGGTCTATCTCTGTCTCTCCTTGAGCTCTAGACACTTTAAGATCAAACTCCATAGGTACTTGAGTTGGATTGCAGTTCTCCAAACCAGCTTCCTTCAAGATTCTCCTTGCATAAGCTTCTTGTTTGATTTCGATACCATCTTTCCCTTGATAAACTTTGATGCCGAGGTAATAGGTGAGTCTTCCCAGGTCAGACATCTCAAACTTAGATAACATCCCAGCCTTGAATTCCTTAATCTCTATAAGGCTATTACCTGTTACATAGAGGTCATCAACATAGATGGCAATGATCAGTAGACTATCTCTCTCTTGCTTGCGATACACTGAATTCTCCTTTGAGCATCTTTTGAATCTCATGCCCTTTAAAATCTGATCCAGCTTCGTATTCCAAGCCCTTGGAGCCTGTCTCAGACCGTACAAAGCTTTTGAGAGTTTGTACACCTTGTACTCTTCTCCTTTAGCTTCAAATCCTTATGGTTGACTCACATAAACATCCTCCTTCAGTCTCCATGTAAAAATGCTGTTTTTACATCTAGATTATGGATTTTCCATCATTGAGAGGCTACCAAAGAAATCAACAATCTGATTGTCTCTATGCGAGCTACAGGTCCAAAAACTTCATCGAAATCTATATCAGATTCTTGCACAAATCCTTTTGCTACAAGCCTCGCCTTGTACTTGTTGATAGTGCCATCTGCATTCCTTTTAATTTTGAAAATCCACTTCAGACCGATGACTTTTGCTCCACTTGGCTTAACGACCAGAAACCAAGTCTTGTTTTTGTTGAATCGATCTTTTCCCTGCAAGCTTTTCTCCATTCTGATAAGGCTTTAGCTTCCTTAAAAGTTCTTGGTTCATCGTTTACTAACAGCAAAAGATTCTCACATTCTATCGACGCTTGCAAAACGAAATCGTCTAAGTGTCGTGGTTTTACTACAAGACGTGTCGACCTTCTCAGTGGTTGTTGCTGCTGAGGCGAGTTTTCTGTATTGCTTTCGTCAACCTGATCAGTTTTGGTATGATCAGTTTCATGTTCATTAGTGTCACTCGACACCACCGATGGTGTTGTTCGACACCTAGTGTCGCTCGACACCGCTGATGGTGTTGCGCGACACTCATCGCTTCCTTCAGTTTCTTCATGATCATAACCGATTACTGCAGGTCCTTCTCCTGTATCAATAATCTCTCCCCACCTCATCCGAAACATACCTAGATCTCTCTTAGATCCATCTTTCGTCCTGTTCCAGTTCCACTCTGCTTTCTCGTTGAATACTAAGTCTCTGCTCACCACTATTCTTTGTGTTGTTGGGTTGAAAAATCTGTATGCCTTGGATCGTGACTCAATCCCAAGGTGTACTAGCGATTGCAACCTGTCATCTAGCTTCTTAAGGTTTGTTACTTCCACCTTTGCATAAGTTAAACACCCGAAAAATCTGAGATGACTAAGGCTTGGTGTTCTTTCTTTCAGGCTCTCATAAGGTGTCATGTTCTTAACCTCGTTTGATGATGTAAGTTGAGTGACGAACCACCTCTCCCCAAAGATAGTTTGGCACCTTCATAGCTTTGAGACTACTCCTTGTCATCTCCATTAAGGTCTTGTTTCTTCTCTCTACTACACTATTCTGTTGAGGTGTGTAGGGAGCAGTTGGATGCCTCCTAATCCCACTTTGTTCGCAGAACTCCTGAAATTTCCTTGAAGTAAACTCCCCTTCTCTATCTGTCCTTAGAGTCAGGATTGCTTTCCCTGGTTCCTTTTCCACCAGACCTTTGAATGCTTTGAATTTTCCATATGCTTCATTATTCTCCTTTAAAAGGATAGACCACATATATCTTGAAAAATCATCAATGATCACAAATATGTACCTATTGTGAGCGATGTTTGGTGGTGTTATTGGACCACACAGGTCCGCATGAAGCAGTTCTAGGGGTTTAGATGCTCTAAACGCAGCTGTCTTTGGGAAAGAATGTCGAATTTGCTTGCCCACCAAGCAGGATTCGCACAATTCCTTCTCTTTTCGGATTTCGGGTAGTCCATGAACCATCTCGTTTTGAGACATAGCCTTCATCTTCCTGAAGCTTATATGTCCCAATCTAGCATGCCATCTCCATATCTCGTCTTCCACCTTCGACTGCAGGCACACAGGTTTTCCAATTTTTAGCTTTATTTTGTAAAGCCGATTTGGAGACCTTGTGACTTTAGCAAGTAGCTTCTTGTCTGGATCTTGGAGTGTCAGATAGTCCTGCCTCATCCTCACATCGCAGCCGGCTTCTATAGCTTGTCCTAAGCTAAAGATGTTGCTTTTGAGGTCAGGAATGTAGTAGATATTCGTGACAAGTCTCTGTTCGCTGATTTTTGCTTTGAAATAGGATAGATCTTTTACCTTCTATTTGAACGCAAGAACCATCACCAAACTTGAATTTTCCCTTGATATTTATGTTCAACTCGGAGAAGTATCCTTCTTTTCCTGTCATGTGGTTACTTGCTCCATTGTCGAGATACCAAACTCCTTCTTCTTCTTTGTTTGCTTCAAAGTTCTTTGGAATTAGTTTCTCTTCGTTCAGAAACACAACTTCATGCATATATAGTGCTTCATCCGCTTCTTCCGTCTCCACCATATTCGCCTCTTGTATTTTCTGTGCTCTCTCCGGACAAACTGAGGCGAAGTGGCTTGGTTTATCACACCTGTAGAAAATAACCTTCGATCTATCCTTCTTCTCCTTCGTCTGATCGTTTTGGTTTGATGCTCTCTCTTGCGAATTAAACCTTCCACCTCTGCCTCGTCCTCTGCTTCCTCTGCCTCCTCTTCCATGTCCTCTCCCTCTTGAGCCGAAACTACTTTGTTCTGAGTTCACGTATAGCAACTTCCCTTGCGTATCTCCTTGATTCTCATCATCGAGAACCCTTTCTTCATATGCTTTGAGTCTACCGATGATATCATCAAAGCTTGTTGTCTTTAGGTCCAGTACTTTCTCAAGAGAGGCTACGATGTGGATAAACTTCTCTCTTGGTAAGCTATTGAGGAACTTGTTCACAAGCTTTTGTTCCTCTATCGTCTTTCCAAGTGATGCAGCTTTTGAAGCGAGTTCCAATAACTTCCCCGAGAAGTCATCTATTGAGTCTGAATCCTTCATCTTAATTCCTTCGAATTCAGACATTAGGGTTTTGAAGTTGAGCTTCCTTGACGCGATCTGCTCCTAGGTTTCGTGATTTGATCGCATCCCATATGCCCTTTGCTGTCTCTTGTTTGCCGACTTGCAAAACAAGGGACTCTGGGATCGCTTGGAACAACATGCCCGTGGTGATGTCATTCTTGGCAGCGTCGGTTGAACCTGGTTCGATCGTCTCCCAGACTTTGTGAAATCGGAGCAGTACCCTCATATTCATTGCCCACACCATATAGTTTGATACGACTATGTCTCCCATCTCCTCGTATCGTATGATCTTCGTGTTTATACGATTAGGATTTTGGATCGCTTAGAACTCAAGCTCTGATCAGATATATTAAAAGCGAGTTCAAAATAAACAATAGAGGCCCCTCATTGAGTTTCACCTGGTTAATTACCTCTTACCCCTTAATGATAAAATTAAATATAGTAAATTAATTAATTAGGAAAATACTTACCAAAATTAAAAAAAAAAAAAACGTGTGGACCTCTTAATTTTAATACCGGCCCATTTGTGCGATTTAACCTAACATATGTAGCTTTCATAACCTATATAAATAAATATAGTCTCTCCCTGCATCTCCAATATTGTGTTAGAAAACCTTACGTTTTTTTACTCAAACCCTAATAGTCTTTTGCGTTCGTAGGATCGTAGTTAGGTTATTCAGGATATGCTTTTTTTTTTGTTTTGATATTTTTTTTTCTTTGAACGAGGTTGTTCATCGACGACAATTAGTACTACCGTTTTGCGAATTGGTAAGGTTTTTTGTTTTCTTATCTGTGATTTGAAACTCATCTTTGTCTTTGTGTGTTCTGATTTTTGATTGTTGCCTTTTACCTTATTTTGTAACGATTATGATTGACTATTCTAACTTTTTCAGGTTTGAATATTTCAGTTGTGTGTCTCTAAATACGTATGTTCTGTTATTTATGTTTAGCGATAAATTGATTTTATTCTTTGCTCTTGAAGATTGTTTACGCTCTTTTGGAAGCTTGTCACGTTTTAACATGTCTCTTCTTTGTCGAGGTATATCTTAACTTTGCTTTCTATTTTCTAACTTTATGTTCAGTTACTAATTGATCAAAGAATTTATGTTTTCTTTGGTTTTGATCCTCTAGGACTGTTCCTGTGGATTGTGTTTTATTATTCTGAGATGGTTGCGGGAGGTAAAGACAAAGACTAATCCAATGAAGCTATTTTGAGATAGTTTTCGTGGACTGTTCCGGTGAGATTTGATTTTGTATTATGTTCGTTGTTTTTTTTTTTTAACTTTTTGTTTTGTTTTGATCTGTATTACTCTCTAGGTGATTATTTTTTATTGTTTTTGTTCATTTGTATTGCTCTAATGATCTGCTTTTTTTTTCTCGATTTGATGTTAGGCAAAAGTTGAAATTTATATGGTATATGTGTCCTCTTTTGTTCTTCTTCGTTTGATTTTTTTTTTCGATGTTTAGGTGCTGGGTTTAGTAGATTTGTGAAGATATCGAAAGTGGTTCTTCTTGGAATTTTTTTGCAAACAGAGACTTGCCTGCTTCTGAGAAGAAGAGGAAGCTAGCTAAAAACTTCCGATGAAACAAGAAATGGAGAGGTAGTTCAAAAAGAAAGCAAAGAAGCAGGACCATGAAAAGTTGATCACAACGGCTTTGAAATCTGTACTTCTCTACTGACTCACTGACTCTCAGATCCATCGTTAATTTCTTTGAATCTTTATTACCAATCTTATTCTCAGATATTCCAAAGCTTTAGTCACTTAAAAATCTTGGTTTCCTGTGTGAATTTATGGTTATTATTGGTGAAAATAATATTTTTTTTCACTCATATGTTTTCTGATTAGTTTATTATTTGGCTGTATATGTTTTTTGTTTCTTCTTAGGTGTAAGCGTTTTTCCTTTCCATCTTCCAGATTACGAGGTTTCTTTTGATGGTGGTGTTGGCCTAGATAAAGGTTGTCGACGTACTCACTTTACGGCTTGGTTGTAGTGTATCGTTTGTTTCCAGGGGCTAGCCTTCTAGGTTTTTTTCTGGATCGCAAGCATAGGCCATGGAAGACTTGATGACGAATAAGTATGTTGCTATTCTGTTTGGATCTTCATGTTAAATTTTGTGCTGATATCGATGCTTCTGAATTTCTATTCCTCCCTCTTTCTCTAATTGTTGTCAACGTGAAACCCTATTCTTAGAACCCCTAGAA